GAGCCATTACATTTTTTTTTTAGATTTTCTTCTTTTTCTCCTTGCCTTGTCATTACAAAATTTTTAAGAACTTGAAAACCTATCTGTTTCAACCATTATGCAAAATGCCTTCAGAGAGGACTGCAAAGTGCAAAACAAAAATTACTTTATCTGCTGTGTGTGTGTGTTTGTGTGTCTGTCTTACTCATTTCATTCACAAGTATCCAAGAAAACATAAACCATGTTGGGAATTTCTGTTGGATCCTCAGATCCAACTACTTTGTTCTATTGTTTTGGTAAATCACATTTTAAATTATTTCTCAAATTATTACTTAAACCCCCTCTGCCCTAAACCCTGTATGAATCCATTATCACCTGTCTCATGAGTGCATGAAGTATGTTCTCTACTGAAATTGTACCTTTATCTTTATTAGTGCTAGAATAATCACTTCTCTCCCCTTTTAACATTTTCCTGTGTTAATAGACTTCCTCACTTTTCAGTTTATGCTGGCTAAAAATTCCAATTTCTTTTCAGGAAACCATATACATTAAAATCTATCTCCTAGAGTGGCTAATCTACATGTGAGAGGAATAATGTAAAAAAGTAAAAATACCAAGACATTAATTTAAAGACTGCTTGTGGGGGACAGAGCATGGGATTGGGAGTAGGTTGAAAAAGAAGGCAAAAATCTATTTTTTTAATTGTTTATTCTTTAATTCCTGTGTGTTCTATGTAACCAGTGCTATGCTGGGAACCATAAAGGATGCAAAAGAAGTAAAACATAGTCCAGTTGAAAAGCTTAGTTGAAGCAAGTACTGAAGGACGTAAAATACTATGTAACCATATACTTGATTATGTAATGTAAATGTTCACAGGTGTTTCATATACTGTAGTTGTTATACAGCAGACCTTTAATAAAGGTGATAGAGGGAAAAGAGAAGTCTCCTTATCAGTGATAGAAGAGGTGAGCTATTGAAGGAGAATTAGGATTTGCCTTAGGTATGGAAAAAGTTAGGAATTATCATAGCCTGGGTGAATATCTCTTAAGATGGGGAGTGTATGGATGAAAAGGAAATATTCCTGTATTTTTGGAAAGGCCAGTCTGACTGTAATAACACTTTTGTGAAGAATGAAAGATTAAAATTATTTAAGTGGACATTTGGGAAATCACACTTTGGTGTACTGTTGTACTGTTTCGTCAGTAGATAACATTATAGAAAGAAATTACATTGCATAGTTAAATGCTGATGTCTACATATACCTTTTCTTGTGTGTAATGGAGCTCAGGAAAAAATTCATTCTTTTAATTACACAGCTAAAATTCACTGAACACTAACTGTTGTGATGTAATGAAAGGATTCTTCAGATTTCTTAAGTTCAACCTTCTTCACCTTAATTTAGGAACTGATATCTTCAAAGGTTAGAAAACATATTTGTTCAGTAGGCTTGAGCTATGTTGAATGTGTCTCTACCCTGTTAAATACATAGTATTTAAAGTTGGCTAACGGACTCTCTGTAAGTTAGTTTTCCATAGCTGCTCGTAATCATTTCTGATAGTATTAAAATGAATTACCTCGTATGTCATTGCATCATTAGACCAATCATAAAAACATGTAAAATACCACCAAAGAATGCTTCTAAAAATAGTGTAGACAGATTAATTATTGAATTATGTTTTACATAAAAACACTTAGGTAGACTTAATTTTCATACTTAATTAACATATACAGTCATTCAATAGATCCATATATTGTCTCACTTCTAATCCTATATTTAGGGTTACAAATTACAAATAATTTTAGATGATTAATAGATTACTTGATAGCCAATATTGGAATTGCTCTTTAGGAATATTTTTATCAGTTTTCAAAATTAGGAGTTTTTAAATTTTGTGTATGATCAGAAAAGTGAGAAGAAGCTGTGTGGAACACTCATAGTACTTGTCTATATTCTATGAAATTAATTGTTACTGTCCATAACCATAAAAAGTAGACATTTTTATATTGCTCTGATTGGCTGCATAGTACAAGAGTTGGTAAAAGCTGATGTCATGAGAAGCAGCTTAACTATAGGCCTTGATATGGTTGCATATGATTGTTTATAAATGTCCATTTTAAAGGGCTTTTGATTCAGTCGTAACAATTAGCTGTAGGTTGAACTTCGATGGCCAAAGTATGTTCTAAAACATATAGAGAAAAAAATTGCCTCTGTCATTTTTGAGTTTTCCAAATGCAAATTTATTTTGAATAATTCTTTATTTGAGGATTTGTTTGCATTTGATCAATACCACAGAGACTTCCTTTTTGAAAAAAAAACTTTTTTTCTGTTAGGTTCTTCTGTGGACTAGTAATTGTGATGAGAGTTGATATTTATTTCAATTTAATATGTTGCTGCATAGGTGAGGTAGTATTTGAATCACTTTAAAAGTTCATGTCAGTGGTTTGTTTAGTTCTTTTGAATTTTTCCTCTTTTCTTTATTTTTGCTTTCTTTCCTTTTCTTCCCCCCTTCCCCCCCTCCCTTTTGTTTTTGCTTTGTTTTATTTCGTTTTACTACTTTTGTTGTTAGTTTTTAAAGGGATGTTTTGGGGTCTCCATGGCCTTGCTGCATACTTGGCTGGCCATATTTAGTCTGCGCACTAATTATTAGTTGGCCCAGTTCAGTTTTACTTTGTGCTATCAGTTTTTTTTAAATATGGTTTTCTATTTTTGTCCACGTGGTTGTTTTGAGATTTTTTTATTCTGATGGGCTGGATTTTAATCCATGTACTAAATTTTAGTCTGCAGACTAAAAGTAATCCGCGGATTATTTATTTTGCAAAATATTTAATTCCCCCACTGGAAACTATCCTAAAAGAATGTTACATTCTCTTAGAATAGCCAAGGGTGTTCACAGCTACTGGTGAGTTCTGCCCTTTTTTTGTTTGTTTGTTTGTTCTCAATGCCTAGACATAATAGACCCTGCTACCTCCCTTATATATTTGGCTCCGTTGTGCCTAGGTGTTGGTGTACATTACTATGCATGTCACCTGTAACTGTGACTGTCCCTTAGTTGTATTGTTTATTGTATACATTTTTGTTTAGCTTTTGGTGGGTGAATTGGGCATATTTGCAGATGGAACTGTTGTTGAATTTGTAGTGCTAAAAGATTTAGGATTTTTTTTTTTCAGTGAGTTTTTCCAAAAAGGAAAGAAATGTTCTCTATTTATTTTTCTTAAGTAATGGGTGCAAGGGTATGAGGGGGCAGAGCCCACAATACACAAAGTAAGTTTATACCCGCACTCCTGAGATGATATGTCAATTTCCTGAAGAATCCTAAAATAATGAGACTGTCAGCAAATAACATCTTTTAGCAGGGAAGTCAATCCAAAACTGAAGAATAATCCGCGGTGGCCTGATCCTTCTTAGCTCACACAAATTGAAAATATCTGGCTTGAAATCTATAGTAATATAAATTAAATATATTTAATACATTTCTCTTGTAACTAATAACTTAGCAAAAAAATGTTTATACTGTGTAACTGGGACACATTAATTGAGAAAAATTAGTATATTGGGAACATATATCTTTAAAAGCAGGCTAATATGCCCCCTCCCAGCCATGTCTATGGATGATAAATCCAGGTCGTAGAAGACCACTTTACTTTGGGAACTTTACTTCTAGATTTCATTTTGATTTTAACTTTTTTTGGTTTTGTATTTTTTTAATGAACACACTGGCATTGGAACATGATAAAATAAAATTTAAATGTTTCTTTACTGTGCCTCACCATTGCACAATCAAAAAAATTTTTTGCATACACTGTGGTGAAATAATTTTTAAAATTTGGACTTGCTACTGTGGAGACTAATGTTTAAAGTTTATAACTGTATAAACATTTTCTGTGTCCCCCTACACCATGGATTTCTTATAACATTGGATATATTTTTCCTTGCTGGACTATTCTCTTTTGGATTGACTTCCCTGTTTGGATTATTTCACTGCATTATCATCTTTAGGATTCGTCAGGAACAGGACATTTCACCTCAGGAGTGCGGGTATGTACTTTATTTTTTTTCCCCAAAAAATTTACAGGGCAGGTCTATAAAACTTGGGGGAGGGGTGCATTTTTTGAAAGGCTAAACAATTGTTTGTTCTTGAAATGTGCTAGTAAAAATGTAGGAGGCTATGATTTCTGTTTTTATTCATTGTATGGTACAGATTTTCTTGTTACATTTTTAGATTGTCAGTCTCCTAGGTGTGAACCATTGACAGAAATTGTGAAGTTTTAAAGTTATTATTCTTATAAGAATAAACATTGATGAAGATTCATGAAACCAAAGGTTCTTAAGTATTGAGCTATTTCAGTGAGTAAGAAATGATGTAGCAGTTGAAACTTATTTATTAAAAGCCAAATTTTAGTAGTTACTGGTTTCCTTTACTTTAGACACAAAGGAAATTCAGAAGAGCTAGTTTGTAATTTGTACAGTAATTTTTGAAAATTGCATACTATTACATCCTATATTATGGTCAGAAATCTAAACTCTGAAAGATATTGGGTTTTGACCCCACATAATTTCCCACTAACCTTTATCCACAGAGTACTGAACCAGGGTTCTTCTTATGAAAAATCTCTCAAAGGATTTAAAGTACAGCAGATTTTTTTTAAAAAAAGAAAGGTTAAATCTTGATTTTAATGTAGGTTCTTGGAATTACTTCTTATCTGTATTATTTTTAGCTCTTTAACTCCATTAGTTAGGATTTCTGACAACATAAGAACAGGGGCTAGGGGCTTTTTAAACATAATCAGAAATAAGCTTACAGTACTGGTTTATTCATACCTTTAACAAGATAAAGATAATAAACAGGAGTTTGTTATTAAAATATGAATTTTTTTATTTTATATAACTCACCACCTAGTTACCCTATAGTTGAAGTTTAGAGATATTTAGTTTTTGTTACTGTGTTTAATTCTAGTTATATGACACTATTATTGGTACCGTAGCATTTTGGATTAGCTAGCAAACTAATCTGTATACTGTCAAGTACATTCAAACTGCCCTCAGGAATAAAATATGTCAGTAGTGTTTAATATTTTTATGATAAGTTTTCTGAGTTTTTCCTCTGACCATTTTTATTTTGTGTTCTGGATTTGATTATTGTCATATTCGTGTCTCTTAAAGCAAGAGAGGGAAAAATGGCAAATAGTGGAAGATCTAAACATTTTAAATAATACGATCGCTTTAAGGTTTCTTTGATGGAGACAATCAAAATTCTCAGAAATAAAAGACAAGTCTGTTTTTGACCATACAAAGGGCTTTCTATCATAGCCAATATTGACTAAGACCTTTAAAGATCTGAATTAATTTCTAAGATCCTTATCAACTCAATCTCTCAATTCCCATGGAAAATAATCTTTCAGTAACAAACTATGTGAAAACAAAAGCAAAAACAAGAGAAAGGTAAAAAAGAAAGAAACCCAACAACAACCAGTTTTCAGTGGTTTTGTAGAAAGTATTCTTATTCTTTTAAGTATTTAAAGAACTCTGGTTGTAACTAATTCTCCTACGTTTGGCCTAAGTGAACATCCAGATGTTATATGAGCCATTCTCATTAGGAAATCTTAGCCTTCCAGAGTCCTTTATGCCTTATGCCCTATCACCTCTGCATGTCCTTTCCTCATTTATGGGTCTTTTGCCCTCCATTTATGCATGTCTGTTTTTCTTTATATTTCTGCACCACAACTTTTATTTTGGTTGTATGTTCTTTCTATCAAAAGTTGTATGTTTCATTTTTATTTGATATCAGAGGCTTTTGGACATTTCATTTCTGTTTATTTCTACTCCTTCTTTACCCTTTAACTGGCCATACCTTAGGTTGAAATATATTTTCATAATTTTATGTTTTGATTCATTTTAAGACATTGATGAGTAGAAAGCTATCTCTTCTTTTAATCAAGTTAATTACATTTTATTTCAATATAGCCTTTAGATTCCTATTTCTGTGGCTTTTTTTTTTTTTGTAGCTTTTAATGAAAAAGACAATATCCGATCCTGAAAAAAGCCCTAGAATTTTCATTCAAATTAATTCAAATGAGAGTGATCTGGCCACATTCATGATAACAGTTACTTGAAGAAAATGTCAAACATTTTGTCAAAGTAAATGATAGGCTTTGTATATTGAGAAAATAATACCAATTATTAGCATTAGAAGACCTAGAATAACAGCTTTTCTTTCTTTTTAGGAAAATTATTGATTACTTAATTTGAATAGTGCCATCCATTATCAACAGTTGTTGACACCAGAGAGGCAATCTTTTATTTACTGCCACAGCAGTCAAAACTTTTTTTAAGATTTATTTTAATGCTCTTTTTGTTGTGTTTGCCTCCAAAACTCAGCCTTTCCCATATGCCTGATATATTTTATATGCATTTTTAATTATATTGTTTTATGTTTAGCTTATGTAGATTTTTCTCTGAGCTTTTCTCAAATAGTCTTTAAAATTAGCAGTTTACCCCAGTGTGGTGAATCATATGCAGTTAACTTTTTTTATCCTATAAGGTTCCTTTCTCAAATGCAACCATGTTTTTGTACAGGTGGGAATTAACTCATTACTCAGAGAACTATTTGCTTAGATTTTTAATAATAAAATAATAATTGTTCTTTCCTCTTTTTGTACTGCAGGTCTTCCGACCCCGAACTCCACCAGAGGCCATTGCATTGTGTAGCCGTCTGCTGGAGTATACACCAACTGCCCGATTGACACCACTGGAAGCTTGTGCACATTCATTTTTTGATGAACTGAGGGACCCAAATGTCAAACTACCAAATGGGCGAGACACACCTGCACTCTTTAACTTCACCACCCAAGGTAATTCCAAACACTAAGCTCTTAACCGTTTCTGGGAAAGGTGCACACTGGATATGGAATGAGACTCTGTTAATGAAAATCTGTGGAGAACAACAGTAGATATATTAGTAAGCATTTATGGAGGTATGAAGCACCCTGTAATTTATTAGTCCAATTTTTGTATGGCCTTGAACAAAATAGTGACAGATAAAATTTTTGAAATAAGGATACTTTCATTTGTAGCAGATTACATTTAATTTTGGCACATGAAAAGTTTATAGACATTTCATTGGGTGAGATTTATCACTAATAAGATTAATATATAATTAGCATTTTTGCTTCCTAAATATCAGCATCAAGTTTTTAAAACCTAGAAATAAATTGGTGGCTGTATTTTTATAAATGGATTATTTTATAAGTAAGGGGAGAATTGGAGTCCTGTAACCCCTAAGAACTTATATGAGAGATATAGACAAAGAAATTTCCATCTTGGTACCCACTACTGCTGCCAAGAAAACATTGAAAGGAAAACTGAGTTTGTGCATTCATTTCTAGAAAACTTAGGGATAGTCATTTCTTCATCATTTCTACATTTTTATGTTCACTTTTTCTTTCTCTCTGATTAAGACCCCCAAGTCATTCATTCATTCATTCAGTCAGTTACATTGCTTCTGCTAATGTGATTTTCTTCTTAAACTGAGCATAAAGTTTTTTATTCCAGGGAGATAAAACAAGAAATGGGTGATATGTATCTTGATTACTGAGCAGTAAGCTTAGGCTAAAAAAAATATAGAATGGACATAGAGAACTTTGTGTGACCACGAATGAGAAACTTCCTTTATTCGAAGGTGAATGTGTTTTCCACATATCTAAACTTTTCTAAAATTGAATGTGGAAGGTTGTGTGGTATAGGTGGTAGATATTGAAGATTCCAGTAGATAGTAAAGCATACTGTAAACTTAAACTATCAATATTTTGTAACACTAGCAATGCTGATATAGTCTTAACTTTTAAAAAAAAAAAAAAAGAATGTAAGCTGATCAGAAACCATTTGGAATTTAGGGTCCTAATTATCTGTTTTAAGAAGAATATTAGTAAATGGAAGCTACCTTTTAATATTTATAATATAGTTCTTTTCAAAATTTCTTTTCTAACACATATATTGATAAATGATAAATCTTTTCTTCTTTTTTTTTTTTTTTTCGTACCAAGGACTAAACCCAGGGGTACTTAACCACTGAGCCACATTCTCAGTTCTTTTTATTTTTTGAGACAGGGTCTTGCTGATTTGCTTAGGGCCTCTCTAAGTTGCTGAGGCTGGCCTCAAACTTACAATCGTTTTGCCTCAGCCTCTTGAATCACTGGGATTACCAGAGCATCCACTATGCCTGGCTTGATAATTCTTGAATCCAAGATAATCTCTCAATTCCCAAAATCTCAAACAGATTTGATAACTTGAATATACTAAAGTCATATATTACATAAGGAATTTTGCTTTTTTTAACATCTCAACTTTTATAAAACAATTTCATTCAGATTTTTTTTTACATGTCTTTTACATCTGTGTATTTGTAATCAAATAGAACTATTTTTTGAACCTTCTAATTTCTTAGGTTAAGTCACCTGAACTTTTAATATGAAGCATTTTTTAAGTCTATAGAAGGACACCATTGGAAAATCTGAGTACCCATTTACAGGTTTTATTTTGTTCTATATGTATATGTTTATTATCTATACAATATAACTGTTCTGGATTGCTTTTCAAAGTGATCTCTAAAGGCTTGGATGAATGACATCTGCACTTGCAACTGCGGAGTATCAACTTTAGGAACTACTAAGTTAGTGTTAAATTTCTTCTTTTTCTGATCATTTTTGTCAAGCGACCTTAAAATTTCACAAACCCATATTGGTTGAGGTTTTTTCACACTGAGCTTCCAAAGAATACTTTGGAAAGTACTAGTCTTTCCACAGATTAGTTATTAGAAAAATGATTCTCAGGATATATTTATAAGGTTCACTACAAAGACTCATGTAAATTTTTTTTTCACTGATATTCAGAAAGTCATGTAAAATACTTTGAAAGCCACAGACAGTACGTGTTTATACAGATTACATCCAAATATATATGTACTCTTGATAATCAAGAAAGCCCCTTGTCAGGTGAATAACTTGTTAAAATCTCAAATACTACATGATATTTATGGTAAATAGATTTGTGGGAATAATTCTCCTTATATTCATATGGTACTTCATTATGTTTGTTCATGTGTGTAAAAAATGAGATACTACTTAAACTTCTTTCTTGATCAGATTTAAAAATCCAGAGTTAAGTTCCACAGTTTATGTGTGCCATTTTTTAAGCAATTACATTTGATTCTTTATTCACTAAATTTTTTATTATTACTAAAGAAAATAAAATTTTTAAAACAAAATATGAGTTTCTTAAGCTTTTTTAAAAACTGAAATAAAATTCATGTAAAGTTAAGAATTTTTTTTTAAGAAGTAAACAACTCAGTGTTATTTAGTACATCCACAATATTGTGCAACTACCAGCTTTATCGGGTTCCAGAACACTTTCATTGCATCTAAAGAAAACCCTGCCCCTGTTAAATGCTCACTCCCTATTAACCCCTCTCCCATGCCCTAGGAACAATTTGTTTTCTGTCTCTATGAATCTTCCTATTTTGGATATTTTATCTAAGTGGAGTCATAAAATATAGGTCTTTTATATCTGCCTTCTTTTACTTGTTGTTTTCAGAGTTCATTCACATAGTATATATTAGTGCTTTGTTCCTTTTTGTGGCTGATTAATATTCCGTCATGCAGATCCGTCACATTTTGCTTATTCATTCTTGACTTACAAACATTTGGGTTGGCTATTGTGAGGAGTGCTGCTGTGAACATTCATGTACAAATATTTGTTTGAATATTTGTTTTTCATTCTTTGGGTACTACTAAATCACATGATAATTCTGTTTAACTTTTTGAGGAACCACCAAATTATTTTTCTAAGGCTGCACGTTTTACATTTCTACTAATAGTGTACACGAGTTCTAATTTTTTCACATCTTGCCAACACTTGTCACCTTCCTTCCTACCTTCCGTTCATCCTTCCTAGTTTCTTTCTTTTTAAATAGCCATCCTGGTGAATGTGAACAATAATCTTGTTGTCCCAAGATTATTGCAATATAATAGACCAGGACTTGATAAGTGCTTTTTAAAATAAAGAAAAAGCTTAATTTCAAGAAGTCTAAATTAGTTCAAACTATCCATACATGTCTAATATTTATAGAAGTTTTTAAAAATAATGAGTATTATTTTATTTTGGTATTTTAAAATGTAATATTTGCCCATAGACCATTTACATTAGAATGATTTAATTTGAAGAATCTACTCATCTCCCATTTTTAAAAGCTGGGTTATGTGAGAGAATGATAGTTTTGTGGGGAAATAAGAGGGAATGGGGGCAGACTGATTATAGACAGAAAAAAGCAGTGATTTAGGAACTCAGGAGAACTAACATAGAGTTAAAATAGGATTGGGTCAGCCACAAGGCAACAGGTAGACCACAAGGCAACAGGCAGACTGAATGTTTTAAAGTAGAGAGACAAGAATATCTAAAAATTAAGAAGTCAGGTGATGAAATAGAAAAAGGACTCTAGAAAACAAGTTTTTAAAAGACAGTAAAAGGTTGAGAGCAAATAAAAATGTCTCTAAGTGTGTATATGTTTTTCTGATTTAGAAGAGTACATATATATTTGGATGTAATATAAACACATACTGTCTGTGGCTTTCAAAATATTTATGTGACTTTCTGAATATCAGTGAAAAAAGATGAACATGAGTCTTTGTAGTGAACCTTATAAATATATCCTGAGAATCATTTTTCATCAGATTAAAGATATATTAAGTTGGAAGTATCATTATTTTAAAATAATGCCTTCCTCTTTTTTTGTTTCATTTTTGTTTTAAGTGTTAAAATGCCCTGGTTTAGCAGCCATTCTGAATCTGAGCTGTTATCACTGTTTTTTCTCTGAACTTCTAAATCATTATTGTTCTTAAACACTCCTTCCATATAAGGACATCCCGGGAAGAGATATCATTTGATGGCATTCTACTTGATACTGTATATTCTCATTTTGAAGCAGTGTTTCCAAATGGTGATCTTGTTTTCTAAAGCAAAGATGTAACTTGTGCAGATGAAACTTTAAAGACTAATGGATAATAATTAAAGAATGATCAGAAATTGTAAATTTGTAATGTAAGAGATTGAAAAAGGAGAATGAATCCCCACTTGATTATATAGCTAGGGAGAATTCAAAGAATCCTTGTTGGGAGTAAGTAGTGAGGATTTTCATTTGCACTCTTACCCCAAATAAAACAAAGATAATCCCTGATACATATACAGTAGGTGTGCTCAGTGAATGTTAGAACATTTGATACGTGGCACTTCAAGTACACACAGAGTTTATTTATTTATACAACCAGTATTTATTGGGCATTTCTAATGCTGTCTCTGGTTGTTATTGTTGTTGTTTTAATTAGTAAAGTAAATCTGCCATATAAACCAAATAAGAAATACTAAACACTTGAGTAAAATACAGTGTTATTTTAATTAAAGTAAAACTTACACCAGAATTTAACTTCACTTTGCTATTTATTACAGTATCATGAAAATTAACCATAAACAGTAATTAGTATTACATTCATATAATCACAAGAAATAACTAGAGGAAGGAGAGAGATGAACAAATATGGGACAGGAAACTTTCAGATCCTTCTGACTGCCCGAATCCATACTTCAAGAGAATATCAGACCTGTCTGATTTTTTTGGAAAAAATGACACACTCCTTTCTCTCTTTGTCATTAAATATGAAAGGTTGGACATAGCCGAATCAATTCCAGAAAGCAGATGGAATCAGGAAAATTCAATAGGGATCAGTATTATTGTCTGTTCCAAGGCTGGAATATATTAGGAAGTAAGTTGTTTTATGTTTAAAATGGGAGTTTGCCCCTAATT